CGCCGCGTTCGTGTTTGTATTCCCCGCGGACAGTCAGACCGACAGGCTATTGTCAGTTTGGGCGATTCCCAGGGCGCCTCGCGAGGAGTATGAGAGGCTGAGGCCGTGCCGTGTGGCTGACGACCCGACCCGGGGGAAGGACTCTCGGGGCGACTCTCATGGCGTGCGTGCGGCATTGTTGGTCAAGTGGAAGGACGCCACATCAAAGTGTATATATTCCGTGGCCTTAAAGTTTTTGGAGGTACCGCGGCGAGGCGACTGTATCAGCTGCAGCTATATATAGTCGAGTCGAGCCAGTCGCTCCAGCGGCTGTCATCGAGCCCAGCGGGCCGGGCCAGGCCAGGCAGCCGGCAGGACGGCAGTGCACGGCCCGCCTCGTTGAGTGGGCGTCCGTCCTGTCTGTCCAGGCGGGACGGGGCGGGGAGTCCCCCTGGGCCTAATAGTAAGGCCCCCGCCCCGCGCTGCCGCCGCTTGCCCGTTGGAGCGCTGTGAGTGTGGCTGCTAATAATAGCGTGTTGATATGCCTGCCCCGCCCCGCGCTCCCGCCGCTGCTCCGCTCGCACACCGGGCGCACTGAGCTCTAGGGCTCTCTAACCAACTCCTCGACGAGTTATACTCCCGAAATACTTATTGCGGCACGAAGAGAGCATTTTCATTATGGCAGCCGCCAAAAGAGCGTTTCTTTTTCTCATTTTCGGCAGCAGCAGTAAGCGGCGCCTCCGCGCGCAAGTCACGAGGGCAAGCGGCGGCCAGTCGCAGTTTGTCGCATGGCCGTGACTCTGGGTCACGAGGACGGCGGGGCGTGGCGGGGCGGGGCGAGGCGGGGCGCAGAAGGGTCCCTTCCAGTCAGCCGTGAGGCAGCCCGTTGGATTACGGCACGTCCCGGCTGGCGCGCTCGGCTGGGAAGATCGTGACCGCGCGCTGTCGCCGTCCTGCTGCACCGCACCGCACGGTTGGGGCGTGGCCGCCGCCTGCGCGCGCGCCGGTTAGGCGGGCCCGCCGGACACGCCCGCCCGCCGGGTGTGCCTACCCGACGCTCCGCCAGGCGCTCGCCTCCCCGTCGTCGAGGAGCAGCAGCCGACGCGCCCTGGCGTTATGATTTAGGATTCGTACGAGTCGTACCCGTACACGTGACTTTAAGGGTGGGGGGTACAAATATTATGGGGTCCCAAAAGGATCAGCAACATCATTCGAGTCCATAGAGAACCCATAATATTTTCACCCCGGGGCCCGGGATACAAATATTATAGGGTCTCTATGGACTCCGATGATGTTCCTGTTCATTTTGGGACCCCATAATATTTGTACTCCCCACTCTTAAAGTCGCGTGGGATGGGTACGACCCCTTACGCCCCGCCCAGCCCCGGCGGCGGCCGCCACGCCTCCGACACCTCCTGGTTGTAATTAATATTCGCTCGCGGTCCGGCGGGTCCGACCCCGGAGCTTCCCTCTCCCCCTCCTGCTCTGCCCATTGTCGGTGGGGACGTGGGCGCCGGCGGTGCCGGGCGTGGCGGGCTGGCTGTGGCGGCCGTCTGGAGGGCGCTGACCGTTCCGGCGCCAATTGACACCTCCCCGACGTCGTCGTATCGCGCCCGGTTCGGCCCGACTGACTGGGCCCGATCAGGGGAGCCGCGTGCGCGCGCACTCGCGCCGAGAGCCCACATCACTGGTGGCGGCTCTCGAGTCTCATCATCATCGGCTCGCTGCTGACTCGGTCGTCGTCGAGAGTCGAGTGGCATACTCTCGACGCTCTCGACACGACACTCCCACTGTTTTGGATACTAGAAGACCCTCTTCGAGTGCGGCGCGGCTCGTGTTGTTGGCTGGGAAGACGTAGCAGCTGCATGGACCGGCCGGCCGGGGGGGTCGGTCCTGCGCCACGGCGGGGCTGGCGGACCAGCAGGGCGGACCATAAACTGGCGTGTTTATTGGCGTGTGCCAAACCCCGCCCCGCCCCGCCCCGCCCCACCGTTGCTCCAGTTGCAGAGCGCCGGCTGGGCGGACGCTCGTGATTCTGCGCCTCATCTCATATCCATTTGGCGTCTGCCCCGCGAGCTCGTGCGGCCAGCAGAAGCCCACTTCAGCCCCGCAGCAGCAGCAGCAGCAGCAGCAGCAGCAGCAGCTATCCGCGCGCCGCATCACCGGCGGCGTGCCGCGCGCTCGTGCGTGGTTTCTGCACACGCCGCGACTCGCCACGCCGCGCATAGGAGGAGGTGCACCAGAGGGGCCTAACTGCATGGCGCGCTCACGGGCGATGCGGTGGGCATTCCTGGCTTGAAAGTGAAACTCGTTTTCCCCTACCGCGGAACGGACGGAACGGACGGGCGGCGCGTAGTTGTAGTAGTAGTGCCGCGCGGTCCCCCCTAAGGGCCCGGAGGAGGAGGACGAGGAGGAGATGAGGGGGAGAGAGAAACTGAGAAACTTTTCCTTTTTATATTTTATCGGTGAACGCGCGAGGCGACCCACGACCTATACGGAGCCGGAGAGGTGCGGGTCCCCCGGGTCCCCTTGGCCGGCCCGGGCACAGAGCTGTGTGACAGACGTGTGGTCCCCGCCGGAGGGCGTAGCGTTCCGATCGCTGTTTTGAACGCTGGCGCCGCGCGACGCGGTGGGCGAGGGACGGCCGCGGGCAGCAGCACCAGGGCAGCATGCGGGCCGATGGGGCCGACAGAGAGCTGGCCCAGGCCAACCCGACTCATGAATGAGTAAGTGGCGTGGCGGAGCGTGGCGGAGCGCGGCGGAGCGCGGCGTGCCTGGAGAAGTTTGTCGCCACTAATGCTGTGTGTGTGTGTGTGTTTCGCGGCGATGGCCGCTCACGCTGCCGGCGGCAACGCTAACGCTGTTCAGACATGCAGCTCAGCGCATTGCCGCCGCCGCTGCTGTTGGGGTGGCATTTACACGAAGCAACCCCCTCCTCCTCCTCCTCAACCCCCCCCTTTGTATATTACCCTCTCATGGCGATCGGTCGCAGCCAGTGGCGGGCGACGCGGGGCGCTCTGGTGGTGCCAGGCCCTGTCAGGCCCTGACGAGGGGAGGAGTGGGGGGCGCCGTCGACGTCGTCCGCGGCGTCTATAGACGTGACCTGGCGCGTGTGTGAGGGGAGGCGACTCTCCCTCCCTTCCTCCTGCTCGGGGAACGGTTGAATGAATGGGGATTGTTTTATGTGTACAGCAAGGCATTCCATCGCTGTGTATACTATACTTGTCGTGTAGTTATTGGCATGATTTGCGTGTGCTGCTGCCGTCGGCAGCGTGGCGTGCGTGCGTATGTGTGTGTGCGTGCGTGCGCGCGTGACTGCTTGTGTGTGTGTTGACACGCCCACGCACGCACCCCGGCCCGTGGAATGCAGACTGCACTAACACATGCATGCACACACAAAAACACACATACACACACATAGCGGAAGTCGTTTCTAAATAGCGCGGCGCGGCCCAGCCCAGCGGGGTCCAGTCGGTCCAATACCGTCGTCGCGCGGGGCGAGCTTTGTCAGCCATGAGAGCTGCGCTGGGCGCTCCCCTCTCCCCTCCCCATCCCAGCCCCAGGGGCGGGCACCGCTCACCTTGCGCGCCCTCTGGCCCTGCTGCCGTCGCTTGTCCTGTTGAGCCCCCTCCCTGATAGGGCCGTCCGCGCGGTCCCGGCCTGGGTGCGGTGCGGTACGGGGCGGGGGTTGGGGGGCGGATATTGGTGGATTTGTCGAGCGTCGCCGTGTACGCCGTGCCGAGGCTGACGCTGACGCCTGGCTGGGCCGGCCGTCCCGGCGCCGGCGCCACAAAGCCCCCCACGAGTATTGACTTTGAAATGAGCTGCGTCCGACGTGGACGTGTCGGGGCTGGACGGGCCTGGGGTGCTGATGCGCTCGTTTGGCTCACGGCGGAGAGAGGATTTTTTGAATCTTTTTCTATGGATAAAGGTTGCGTGGGGGGGCTGGTGCGAACAGGGTGCGAACAGGGCGGGGCCCCGTCTATCTGTGTGCACTGCGCTGGGGCGCGGCGGGGCGCGGCGGGGCGCGGCGGGGCGCGGCGGGGCGCCGGCATGGGTTTATGGGGTCCTGGCGCCGCCGCCGCTCGGCCTGGACTAGAGCCCTGGCGCCTCTGTGCCCGTGCCCCCCCCCCCTTTTCCTCCCTCCTCGCGCCCCTCCCTTCCGGGGAAGGCCACTGCCATCAGGATGAAGTACGCCCGTTAAGGCGCGGCGCGTTTGGCTAACCCGAAGAGCTGTGGGTAACTGTTTCCGTCAAGGGCTGGCTATCGGCTGGGCGGATTGGTCCGCAAGTCGGCTTGAGGCCGAGCAGGACGATAGTCGGGGTTGACGGGCTCGTCTGGATCAGATAACCGCCTGCTGCCCCCCGGGTCTGCTGGGCCGTATTGATCGATTATTGGCTGGGCATACGCGGGGCTGCCCTCTGTCCACCGCGGCGAGGCGGGACGGGGCGGGGTTCGGCGAGGGGCAGCACAGCAGTAAACGAATCGCTTAAAAATAGAGGTGCGCTGCCCAGCAACCCCTCGACTTATGCGGCGCAGTGGTGGTGGAGCCGAGCGGGCGTAGCGGGCGCTGCCCCGCCATGAGCCGTGTGGGGCTTCCCTTCCCCACCCTCGCCCGTCTAGCCTGGCCGTACCTTGAGGGAGAAGGGGAAAAGAGGAGGAGGGGGGGGGGGGCTCCCTCAAGTTCATATAGAACTGTCAGTCGTCACGCAGAGCAGAGCACGCAGTAGATCAATAAAGTAGAGTCCTCTCCTCTCCTCTGCCGTGGCGTGGCGTGGCTTAGCTCGACTTAAAGATGTAGTTTTTCTAAAAATGAAATTTTTGAAATTGAGATTATGGACTAGTTTCAAGAACAAGATAAAGATTTTGTAAAATAGAAACAAACAAAAAAACTGGTACGGAAGGTCTAATTCTTTAGCTGGTTTTATTTTCTTCAATGATTCCATGCTTGAATAAAACACCTTGGACTGTGTCTCAAGCGTAGCTAGCTTAACCCGGTTCTTGTCGTGGATGTGTTGCAGCGCAAAGCCAAGGGGCAGGAGCTGTTGGACAGGGTGTGTGACGCACTCAACCTCGTCGAGAAGGACTACTTTGGGCTGACCTACGAGGACCGACACGACCTCCGTAACTGGGTGGAACTCGACAGGCGGTTATCAAAGTTCTTCAAGCGTGAGTAGAACACCGCACGAAAAGTTTCATGTTTGAAAGAGGATAGTTAACTAACTCACTGTGGTTTTATCTTTGTTGCTTTTTCAGATGAGCCGTGGAAATTCAACTTTGAGGTCAAATTCTTTCCTCCAGATCCCGCTCAGCTCCAGGAAGATATAACCAGGTGTGAAAAATACTAAGGAGCTGAAATGTTTTTATATATAATTCTTATCCAAATTCTTAATACCTGTACTGATGTTGATGTTTTCCAGATACCACCTATGTCTTCAGATACGAAACGATATCCTAAACGAAAGGCTTCCTTGTTCATTTGTCACCCATGCTCTGCTGGGTTCATATTTGGTTCAATCAGAGCTTGGTGACTATGACCCAGAAGAACATGGACGAAATTACCTCCAAGAATTTAAATTTGCACCAAATCAAACCTCAGAGCTTGAAGAGAAAGTTATTGAATTACATCGTACACATAAGTAAATATATTTGAACTTAGTAATATTTTCTCCTTTGAGGGTTTTGCTTAGAAGTTACTTCCTTTACTAATTTTGTTTCTTTTGTTTCTTTTTCCTCAGAGGGCAGACACCGGCTGAAGCTGAACTTCACTTTCTGGAAAATGCGAAGAAGTTAGCTATGTATGGAGTTGATCTCCATCCGGCCAAGGATAATGAAGGTGTAGACATTATGCTAGGTGTCTGTGCATCAGGCTTGTCTGTCTACAGGGATAGGTTGAGAATAAATAGATTTGCATGGCCCAAAATTCTCAAAATATCCTACAAACGACACAACTTTTATATTAAAATTAGGCCAGGAGAATATGAGCAATATGAATCAACTGTTTGCTTTAAGCTTATTAATCACAGAGCTGCCAAGAAGCTGTGGAAAGTTTGTGTTGAACATCACACATTCTTCAGGTGTGTACTGCATAGCATCATTATCTTCTCAGTTCAACTTTCTTTGTCTCTGAAAAATTGTAATATTCAATTAATTGATTTAGATTGATGAAGCCTGAACCTACATTGAAATCTGGATTGTTCCCACGATTTGGTTCTAAGTTCCGCTATTCTGGACGCACACATTATGAATCAAGGAAACTACCAATTGACCGACAAGCACCACTCTTTGAGAGGTCATTGAGTGGAAGGCGACTTACAAGTCGCAGCATGGACAGTATGTTCTCAGTTTAAATAACAATTAGGTAGTGTGACCATCGTTAAAAGTAATCTAATCTACATTTATTTGTTTTGTTTTGTTTTCGTAGCTCTTGGCCACAGATCACTTGATGGAGAGGGTGATCTAGGTAAAAGACACACCATGCCGCATCCAGCTAGAATCCCAGAGGAGCACACTCTCAACACCTCAAAAGACAAAGACAAGAAATCTAAGGACAAAGACAAGGTATGCATTTAAGTTTCTTTTAGATATGTTTAACAGTTCCCTTTTAAGCTATTTAGATCCTGATTTGTTCCTGGTCAACTATTGTATGAGTGATATTGTTGTTCTTTTGTAATAATTAATCTGTCAGCATTGAAACTGTTAAGTCTCTCTCTTTCGCTACTGTTCTCATGATTAGAGTTATTTAGTGCCTAATAAATACTAACACTTATAGCGAGGACGTAAGGGCAGTTTGGGCGAGACAAGTGCTAGCTCAGACAGTTCGTTGGAAGGGGAATATGAGGCTGGCAGCCGTAGAGACAACTCAACAGAAAAACCAAAGGTAGCTTTGTTTGCTCCATCTGTGCCGATCTGATTTGATCATTTTGCCTCGCAGAATCATCATATGCTGTTTGTCTTTTGTAGCACTCTACTCGAGATTTTGGTTTTTGGTTAAGATAAACTGAGGGTGATTTAAAGCTTTTTCTGGTTTTAGACAACCAGATATTTGCTTCAACTTGCACTCTGGTTTTAATGGTTTATTTATTAATGGGGACATTTTCTGCAGCAAATTTAAGCCTTCATAGTGCAGAGTTTTGAAGCAAATGTAGGCAGAAAGCTTCCAGGAGAATATTTCATGAAACAGGCCTCTTGATAGGTTGATTTCAAATTTTATCAATTTTGGCATTCATGCTTTATTCATCCTCTCTACTGAGATGAAGCTCTGAGACGCATGCTGCTTTCTCATTTCCATGTGAATCCAGATACAAAATAGGCTGCCATAATGCACATTTCCTCTCCCTAGCATCCTCTTTTTGAACCAAAACCGACCAAATCTCCTGCTTCATGATTTTTTCATAGGTACTGAAGCTTACAGCTCGCTATCTGTCAAGGTGGTCCTCCATTCCACTTCTGCAAATTTTTGTCATTATATCTGTATAATGCCACTTAGTGCAGGTTCTGTTTTGTGGTGCTCCTTTCTTCTATTAGTTACTTTGTGCCTCTATGTTTGTTTGCATATTGTGGCTTACATTTCATTTTCTTCAACTTAATTTTTTGTTTTGTTTTGATTTTTGTTTTACTATGCATATAATCATACTTCATCAGCAGTGCATCATTTTAGGTGCTGTGATTAAGTGCTCAGTATCTCAAGACGTAAACCTAATCTATCTTCTATCTCTTCTTTCTGTCAGAAACCAATTGGAGGAGTCGCTGTACTTCCCTTAGGAGGCATTAAATTAGGACGCAACAAAAAGAGCAAAGACAAGGAAAATGGTGTGGGAGACACAGATGATGACAATGAGAAAGAAAATAGGGATGATTCTCTAATTACTGACCCATCTGCCGATGCAGCAAATAAGAAACTTGGCAAAGCTGATAGCCCTGATAAAGAAAAAGGAAAAGTTAAGGTAAGTCAAGCACCACAAGATTTCAATTGTATTATTGCTTTCAATTTTGATTTGCCTCATAAATACCGAATAGCTTTGATTTACTAGACTTTGGCATGCTTGAGTTAAGAATGTACCAAACTGTAAAGGATGGTAGCAGTTATTCATTGCAAATTTTTATTTATTCAAGGGGTTATTTTAGATTATTTTCTCATGAACGCGTAGCGTATTTGTAGATAAGTTTGTTTCTATTTGTTGGTTTAAAATTTAGTTCAATTAATATTTTATTCCGTTTATGTATGATAGCCGGTGTAATGAAGCGTTTTCCAATGCGGGTTAGAAGTGTTCTTGTTTGGCTAGATTGTACTCTTGTTTTGCCTGAATGATTTCTGCCTGTGCTTGTTTTATTTATTTTTTTATTTTTCATTCCTTTTTTGGTACCCGTAGAGCCCTTTGACGCTGTTTGGCAAAGGCTCCAGCCGCAGATTCAGTGGTAAGGACAAAGGCCGATTCTCCGACCAGACCAACGACAGAGATAACATCGAGTTGACCGAGCAGACGGGGCAGGGCCAGGGGCAAGGACAAGGGCAGGGGCAGGGGCAGGGTGGGGAGGGCGAAGGGGGTAGGTCCCCCACGGGTACGCCCGGGTCAGCTGTGTCTGCTATGCTCGCGCGCAAGGCCAAGGAGTCTGAAGACAAGGTGAGGGAGAAGGAGGCGAAACGCAAGCAGAAGGACGATGAGAGGCGGAAGAAGGACGAGGAGAAGCGAAGACGCGACGACGAGAAGAGGGTCAAGGACGAGGAGAAACGGCGTGCGAAGGAGGAGAAGGATAGGGAGAAGGCCGCCAAGAAGAAGAAGATTGCCGTGGGCGTCAAGGAGCTCGCCGATACATCCCTGGAGACGGACGTGTCCTCGGCGCAGTCCAGCCCAGACAAGAAGGCCCAGGAGCTGGAGGGCACCGGCAGCCTCGGCTCCACCAGCCCTGGCGGCGGCCCGCCCCACGGCTCCCCCGCGCTCCCCGGCTACACCCGCCAGTACGACTACGTGGCGGATGACGACGCGGAGCTGAGGCAGAAGCAATTCAACCCCCAGGGCCGAGGCTTCTCCTACGAGGACCGCCAGCGCCAACAGCAGCAGCAGGAGGAGCAGCGCTCGCCCACCTCGGGCCGCATCCTCAAGGGCTTGGCCTTCAACTACGCGCCCGGCGAGGCACACAAGCTGGCCGAAACCGCCGAGAAGAGAAAGACGGTCGGGGACAAGAACGCCCAGAACCTGGAGGGCACCACCGGCGCGGCGGGTGCGGGCATCGGCATCAAGACGCCCGGCCTGGACTACGTCGAGTCGGCCGCGCGCAAGGAGCAGGCCAAGGGGGCAGCAGGCGACGGCAGCGGGTCCTCGCCGACCGCGCGCCGCAAGCTGGACATGAAGTCCGGCTTCCTGTTCGGCAAGGACTCTGCCGTGACGACGGGCCCCGCGGGCAAGGCAGCCGCCGGGGCGGGAGCAGTGGGCAGCGGGCCGGCCTCGTACACCATCTCCACCACCGGCAAGTCCAACTACGACGAGGGGCTGGCGGGCGGCACGTACCCGTACGGCGGCCCTGGAGACTCTCCGCGCGTCGGAGCGGCTACAGCCGCCGCCAGGGCGGGCGCGTCCTCGCCCAGCGGCATGCGCACTATCACCACCACGGTCACGACGGAGTACGGCGGCGCGGGGAGGACTTCCCCGAGCAGCCCTACCGCCGACTTCCTGACCAAGGAGGCCGAGTACGCGGCGCTGCAGGCGGCCGCCACGCCAGGGTACAGCGCACCCAGCAGCCCTACTAGCTTCGGCAGCGCCGGCAGCCCTGGCAGTGCCGGCAGCCCCGGTAGCCCCGGCAGTCCCGACTCAAAGACAGGCAAGGACAAGAAGAAAAGCAAGTGGGGCCTGGGTGGCTTGGGCGGTGCGCTCGGAGCCAAGCACAGCGAGGACCCCAAGGACAAGGAACTAAGGGAGGCCAAGGAGAGGGAGGCGAAAGAGGCTAAGGAGAAGGAAGCCAAGGCCAAGGCGGAGGCAAAGGAAAAAGCCGCCAAGGAGAAGGAGCTAAAAGATAAGGAGGCAAAGGAGAAGGCAGCTAAAGAGAAGGAGGCCAAAGAAAAGGCCGCGAAGGAGAAAGAGCTGAGGGACAAGGAGGCAAAGGAAAAGGCAGCCAAAGAGAAGGAGGCCAAGGAAAAAGAAGCCAAGGAAAAGGCTGCAAAGGATAGAGAAGCAAAGGAGAAGGCCGCTAAAGAGAAAGAGGCTAAAGAAAAAGAGGCAAAGGAAAAGGCCCTAAGAGAGAAAGAAGCCAAGGAGCTGAAAGAGAAGGAGGGGAAGAGCAAGGATAAGTCAAGCAAGTCCAAGACCGTCCTCGGAGTTACAGGATCAACAAAGGCCGGAAATCCTGAAGAAAGTACATCGGGTGGGGAAGCAGTTTCTGACAGTGATGAAAATACTGATTTTATAGAAGGTGAAAAATCTCGGGGACTCAAAGGCATTGCAGCTAAGCTGAAGTTGCCTCGTACACCTAGCAAGAAGAAGGGTGGATCCCCAGACAAGCAGTTGGCCACTGGTACTCCTAAAGTTGTGAAGACTACTACAAAACAAACTGTAGTGAAAGACAGTGAAGGTCTTACCCACAACATTGAAGAAAAAGTGGAGGATCTAGGCACGGGCGCCGTTAATGTGTCTACGCATGAACACAAGGTTTGCTACCGCTTGTATTTTGTTGTTTTGCCATGTAGTTTGAAAATTTTGAATTTTGCTCAAGCTGATCAGTTGCTATTCTTTTGTGCATGTAGTACTTTTGAGTATTGATGTACTTTTCTATTTAAGTAATTATTTTGAGTTTGAATCTATTTTAACATATAAAACTGACCTTTCTAAGCCTTTTTACAAATTTTGCACTGTCCGTAATCATACTTCAGTATTTTCTAAAAATCACATTTTAAATAGATTGATCCCAAACTTTAAAAGCAATTTTTTAAGTTGTTTAGGAAATAGTTTCTGCACTGTAGCTTGTATTGCTTTTTTTCATGTAGGCTGAAGGCGTAAACGATAATGGGCGCTCGCCCTACGTCACCGCAACTGCTGTCACCACACGTACAGCTACAACTCACGAGGATCTTGAGAAAAATGCAAAAACAAGCCAGGTAGGAAGTGTAGTGTATCTAAAAATAGTAGAACTATGTGTGTTTCAAACCTTTTGTAATTTTAATTGCACACCTCTGTAAATCTTACAACTGTGATGTCAAAATGAAGTTGGTGATGTAACTAATTGATGTATTTTTGCAGGTTGAGGAAAAGACAGTGGCCCACACCATGACAACTAGTGCTACTCGCCAAGAACAGCGAGTGGTTACTCAAGAGGTCCGAGCCACATCAACTGTTTTAAGCGGAAATGATTCTCAGGTTAGTGTTATAGGCAAAATTGTTGCAGACCATTTTAATTGGTGTAGATACGTGTATTTAAGGATTGTCAAGTTTTGAAATTGTTAACTAGATAATCTGATGATTATGCTTGTTTTAAATCAAAATTGAGTTGGACATATTTGCATCTCACTGCTAGAAAGCTACCAAAGCCTTGTGCACTTTTTATTTTCAAATTGCTTTCTGTTCTAGTAATGTGTGAAACTAACCACTTGCCACACATCTTTTTGAATCTTTCACTTCTCCAGTCTCTAGTCTCTCTAAGAGAGCTATTATTTGTCACAGTTACGTACTTGCTTTAGTATAATTTTTTTTAAATTCACATTAGTATGTTATCTTATTTTTAAAAAAACAACACAAACACAATTTTATACACGCCACACAATGGTAAACGTTAAAGTTTTTGCTTACAAGTCAATCATTTGTGAAAGTCAATAATGATATTGATGAATAGCATTGCAATTTGAGTGGCCACCGCGGCAAAGAACACTTTGGTTGCATGTTGGAATTTTGCATGCATGGCATTGCTATTTGCACCACTAACGGCACACTATGCCACGCCATCCTGTGCAGCGCCATAGGTCATCAAGTTCTTCTGATTCAACGAGCTCCGACGATTCTGGCACTCCTGTGGACATCTTGGATGACTCTCAGGGCGAGTACTTTGTCAACTGCAATGCTGATGATGAAATGTTCCAGGTTGGTTTTGCTTGCTTGTATGCTTGCGCACCTTTAATGAATAAGATCTCTGGTTTTTCCTATCAAAATGGCTGCTGCATTTTAAAACAAAAGAGATTGCACTTGCATGGTGTGTTTCTCATTTTAAAATGTTACTCTCATATGGTGCCAAAACCATTAATGCTTGTTCAAGTGCATGGTTTTCTGGTCATATCTCTTTTTTGTTATGATTGCATCATGTGTGGCTTGATGTAGCAACAAGGCCTTCTATGCCTTTGCGCTGCTTATCTCCTTTGCCATGTACAACTTGTATTGAAATCACTATGTACAGAAAAATACGGTACCTATAATAATATCTCTTTTGATCCTTTTTAATGTATAGGGGGACAAGATACTGCGTTATTGCTCTGTTGTCTGGATGTACCTTATCCGACAGCTGACTATGGAAAAAGCGCAAACAATATTATTTGGCTGTCTGTTCTCTAATGCCCTTTTCATTCTCTTCGTGTCTCATCTGCTTTTATTTCTCATTTGTAACATTTTAAGTTGGAATTGTCATTCATTCATTTTTTATTTTGTTGTAAACAACAGCTGTGAGGCTGTTGAAACAACCAAAATATTTTCTTTTTTAACTAAAGTGAAAATTAATTTAATTTTTTTGTTTTTTTGTTTTTGTTTTTTTGCAGCCGCATGGAATTGTCCAGACTGAAACCCTTGTGTTTGGTGAAGGTGGGGAGGTTCCTGCCTTAACAAGCACAACACAAGTACCTCTCGTTCAAACAGAAAGCCGCAAAGTGGCCCTTGAAGCAGAAGATGGTACCTATAGTGCAGAAGGCGAGATTGTCAGCTCTCAAACAATCAGCAGTAAAACTCGAACTGTTGAGACTGTTACGGTGAGTCCACCTTTTAAGGTCGTTGTATGCTGTTTTGTAAGTTTTAGCTTATCATCAATTAATTATGGTCTTCTTTTCTCCTTCCTGAAACAGTACAAAACTGAGAGGGATGGTGTTGTTGAGACAAGGGTTGAGCAGAAAATTACCATTCAGTCTGATGGTGATCCTATCGACCATGATAAGGCACTTGCTGAAGCAATTCAAGAAGCTACATTGATGAACCCAGATATGACGGTGGAAAAAATTGAAATTCAGCAGCAAACTGCTAGTGGTGCATCACAATGATCTGGTAATGATCTGCTTTAAAGGTGCTAAAGCTGTGCTGTATCTGGATGTTTTCCTAACTCCTGCTTTTTACCAACCTGTAGGTTGATACAGATCTGACCAAAACAGATCTCAATAAAACATCTAGACCTGTGGTGCAGATATTTATTCTTTTGGAGAGATTGGACTTATGCTCCAAGCAATCTACCATACCATCTCTCCAAAGTACATCACTTAAGTAGAAATTTTTGTTTGGTCAGGAAGGATTCAAAATCTCATTTTACAGTCCATTTCAAAGCACTGAAATTGGTTATTTAAAACAGAGTTGTGTGTTGAAATGCTGCAAAGTTGTCCATTCATCACAACTTTATGTTTGTTTTTGTACATTTCAAGAGTACTGTCTGTGTATATTCATGCCTGATCTTTGGCTCACCATGTGTGCTTCACGCTTTACTTTATGCCACACACCCTGCATCTTATCTATTTGTACTTTTTCATTTCCATTGTTGAATGACAATACATAAACAGCAGAGCATAAATTTCTACAGTGTACCGAAACTCACAATGCTACACAGTAGCTGTAAACTTTACAACAATGTGTTGTTGATTCTTTAATCGTGCAGTGAGAGAGTACAGTACAGTATTGGCGTATTTAAGCAAAGAGGTGCAAGCATTGTTTTCCTTAATCCTTTAAAGTGTAATTGTACTCTTAAATTGTGTATATCTTGTTGTTAGAATGTATATCTTAGTTGGTCTCTGAACTTCTGCCATTTTTTCCACCTCTATAAATTTCCATGAATAATTTTTGATGTTATGTTACAAAAATGTTATTATTATTTTTTAAGAAGCATTTTACTAAGGACGTATGTAATGTTGTGTATACTAGCAAAGTGTATTCACGTTTTTATGTTTTCTTTATTTTATTTTTATAGAACTTTTTTTCCCCCTTTTATAAGATATGTTTTACCTGCTTTGTGCATGTTATGCACAACTCCAATTTTATGTGACTAACCCTATCGTAGGCATCTAATTTCTCTCTTCCATTAATTTTAGATTCTTAGTTGGTCGAGTACCTGCTATGCTGCTGCTGTTTCTTATGTTTGCTCTCCACTCAATGCACGACACTATAGTATTAGCTATCTGTCCATCTAGCCATAGTAAGTTAATTATTTGCTTTCAGAAAAAAATAATTTTCTTAACTTTTAATTTATATAAAAACTATATTGTAATAAAATTTATGTTTTATGGAATACCATGTGTTTTTATTTAAGCAGGAAAATATTTACTTGACCCAGAGTAGACCCAGCTCATAGGATCTTTGATGTAAACTTATTGTTTTCACATCCGATTTGAGATTAGAAAAATAATTTTACAGCTTGTGGCTAAGGTTTGGATTGGTTTCACTTCGTGATTGTACAGTGTGTTCTCTCAATCGATGAGGTTTTGAGGAAGTTTGATGACCTTCTGTTCACTTCAGGTGAATCATAATGAGACTTCTGCATGTGATACTGCTATTGAAACCGTCTCTTTATAAAGACTTATTCCAAAGCCTTTTCACCCTCACAAATTTTTATACATAGTGTAATGGTAAGAGGTAGAATTAATCTGTCTGCGTTTACCTGAACAAGTCTAGCAACTCAAATGTAGTTGATCCAGTTTTTTTTTTCAAAGTATCAAGCAGCACCATTCTAGTGTTAAAAAATAATGTCCGTAATTGGTCTCATTAAATTTTTAGTCAAGTATGTTGACCATGTACACCTTCTTATTCTCTAAAACTGTATTAGAAAAAAAAATCATGTGTTCTGCCTCTAAGGAACTGAGAATTCAAATTGGACTGTATATTTTTACATGTTGGAGAGAATCAGTTTCTTGACTGCCACATGCCTGTAGATTAGCTTAATAGGCTGTTACACTTCACTGCCACTTTCTAGCAGTCAGGATAATCCAAGCATTTATGTTCTAAAAGAATTTGTATCTCATGTGGGATTTGCTTTCCAGTATCATGTTGATGTTCTCAGTGGAAAAATAAACAATTGAAAAGAGTCTCTATAGAGATATGTTATCAATGTAAAATATTTTATGGTGTCCTGTTAAGGATTTCCGAAGTTGTTGATTGAAATAGATTATGTGTGTAGTTTGTTCAGATTATCAACTTTAGTGTCAGATGGAAGGTCCATTAACACATTATGTGTATGTGCTTATTGCTACCTTTCCTCTGTATCTTTTAACTCAGAATTGGGTCCCTCTGATCCTTTTGATTTGTTTTGCTTTATCCATGGCAGCCTGTAAGAATGTCAGTCAGGCCCAAAGTTAATACCTCTCTGGATTGAAAACTGTTGTTTCTCCTGCAAATCAAGTTCAGCTCAATAAAGCTTCATAAATGTATAAAAAAAAAACAAACAAGTGTATTTTTTTCCTTGGAAAGTTTCAATGACGCAAATGCTCATTTGAAAAATTTTGTTTTATTCTTTAGACCTATTTTTCATTTTTTATACATACATTACCCATTATCTTTTTCTTGAGTCCTATAGAACATGGTTTTATAAGTCCAACATGAGGAAAAGTATTCAGGAGTTTCCTAGCAGAGCACATCTACTTATTCAATGCAAATAAAGTAAGAAGTTTCACAATGTGACTAGAAAAGGAAAATATAAGAAATGTAACGACACAATGCAAACAAAAACCATTGATTCTTAAGCTAGTCACAAAATCCAACAGCAACATATTTTCTTTGGCTTTGAGCTGTATTATTGTGCCCGAAGGGGTCCTCAGACTAAACCCTCACACATTAAATTAACTTGAATTATAAATAAAAACAATTTTAACATCTCATCAAACTTAACTGTCCTAGTCAAATACACACGGACCATAATAAAACTCATCGTACAACAAAACAAATTTCTGCACCGTAGAGCTACTACACCCATCATTCGTGCACACTTGTCCTGCCCTCCATCCGTTTCCCTCCAACACAAATGTGGTAAAATGTTTAGCAGAAGCTGTTCAGCACAGGGACTTCCCTCGGTCCTCATACCACGTAGGGGCGGTACAGGGGCTCGTCGTGGAAGGTGTGGGACGTCGGGTAGCGGCGTGGGGCTCTCGGGAAGCCGATGGGTGGCGAGGCGGGCGCGGGCCGCTCTGGGGATGCGCGGTGCCCGGACCCCGGCGAGTCCATGTCCACCTCGGCCGACATTGCAGACATGGGGCCCATGACGTGGACGGTGGGGGGAGGGCCGTGGCCGTGGGGGTCGTCGCCGGCCAGGCTGACGGCCAGGCTCACGCGGTCCGCACCGCTGTCCCGCCGCCCGTCCTCGGGCACGCCGACGCCATCCTGGCCGGACGGAGCGGGGCAGGGGGCGGCCGTGGAGCCGGGCTGCCTCGCGGCCTGCTTGTCGCGTGGGGCCGCGGGCGCGGCCGCCTCGCTCGCGCTGCTGGCCGCGCTGCTGCTGCTGCCACCAGCGCCGCTCGACTTGGACCGCTTCTCGTCGCGACCCTCGTCCCGACTTTTGGCCTCCTGCTGCGCCTTCTTGCTGCGCTTCCACTTCATGCGCCGATTCTGGAACCATATCTTCACCTGAAATACACAAAAAGAACGAGAGTCAGCGAATGTGTCTGTGTGTGTCGACAGAGAGGGGGGGGGGGCGTCGCTGCGGCGTCGGCGTCGCGACGCATGCACCATGCAGTCGGTCAAGTGAGGCCGAAAGGTTAACAGGGGTTGCTAATGGCATTAGTGTCGGCCGTCACTTTCGCGGGCGGCTGCACCTCCCCTCCTCCCCTCTTCCTCCTTCCCCCTCCCCTCCCTTCCCCGCAAATGGATGTCCTGCCCCTACCGCCCTCCTCCCCCGCTCTACCCTCCCTTTGAATGGATTGCACTTGCTTGCACCCTCCCCCGGACAAATTAGCACTATTTGCACACATGTTGTTGGACGGCGGCATGACGGCGGATTATCGCCTGCGTGT